AAACCACCCTCTCTTTGTCACCTATCTGTTTTCTTTTAAATTGTCTTATAGTACAATCGTTAACAACTAGAGAGCGAAAGCAGATCACACAGCAGAAAAGTCCCATAAAAGTCACCTTTAGATGTTCATGATAACACTGGTATAAAGAGGGATAATGCAGAGCCAAACGTCACATTGTTATAATGCTGATAAACAGTGTTAAAAACATTAAGAAAGAAACATATAAAGAAAATAATTTCTCTCTTTGTGTTTGTGTGTAGATACTCATTTTTGTAACCTATTGGGGACCTTTTTTTTTGCACAACCACTGGCCTTGTCAGGACCAGTAGTCCTCATGGGGGACCAGTGACCAGACCTACTGCAGCAAAACATCTTTCTGTGGTCCTGGTTAGGGTTAGGGGTAAAGTCTGAATTGAGGTTACGTGAAGATTTCGGGGAGGGGCTGGATTGGGCTGTCCACAATGAATAAAGTCAGTCCTAACAAGGATAGATGCACAAACTTGTGAGTGTGTGTGGTGTGTGTGTGTGTGTGTGTGAGTATTTGTCTGTGTGTCTACAACTAGGAAATTCAGAAGCAGCATTTTTTAGTACTATATTTACCACCAGATTTATATATTTAATTACTGATAAATATTTAACATTGCTGTCAATCGAGCATTAACAACTTTTTATTTTTATGTAAATCCTCCTACTGTGTAAACGAAAACAACAATTAACTCTGTTTCTTAATACATTGCTCAGTTCCCGGCTGTCTTTAGCTCCAAAGGATTACATATGTATATTACACACATTAGTAGCACCTGTTAGGAAAACACACAGCTCTTGTTGGTGAACAGCTTTAGTGGATTGAACAGTTCTCACTGGATGTCTCTGTTAAAGCTGAAATGACAAATACATCTTTGTTTGGCAGAAAACATCAAAAACTAGCTGAGTTGGTAAACATGTTTATGCTTGCTTTATGCTGGTTAGCCATCAAAGCCATATCACGTGATTTCTGAGCATTGGAGTCCTTAAATTTGAAACAGTTCCCACTTGCACCCAGCTGGTTCCACCAATCTGCGAAATTGACAAGACAGCTGTAAGATCTGTTCACACCAGCATTTTCAAACGGTGAAATTTCATGGTGAGATCAATTCATTTCAATAGACTCACTGGTGGATTTGTTCATGGGGGTGGGGTGAATTCACGTGAATATTTTGTGTTGTAGAGTGTTTAGTGAGTTCATTACAACTTAACTTTGGTGAACTTTGACACACAAATTTGTGCTGATGACCAACAGCAAACAGTCTCAGCAATGTTGACCTTTAAAGGAGGAGGAAGCTATCATACTAGCTGTGTTGCAGTTATATTTAACCCTTCTCTGTATGAAACTGCTCCACAAAAAAGGCATGGATTGTAGACAATTAGTAGAGAGAAGCTAATGATAAAAGATGCATGCTAGTGACCCCCCCCCCCCCCAATAACTCTTTATTGAATGAAATGATGTGAGTACAGAGAAAACAGGAATAATCTGCAAGCTATTGTGACTGACGAGCATTAGCCTATCATGTTGAACATTTGCTCGCCAGCTACAGTTTACCAACCCTGCGAGCAGTCATTACATCACCAAGCCTTCTGCACTGCCGATATTTTACGAGGACCCATTAACTACCATGTTTTCTGGTGTGCACTGGCTTTTTCTCCATTTGTGTTGAGCACTATGCACTATTGACCACTAGATGCCACTAAATTCTACACACTGCTCCTTTAAGTTTTCTTTAAGGTGGATTTCGCGAAATGGAACTCTACATGTCAAACTTCATATGTCTGAAGCCTTTATCAAACAGGGAGTTTGTTTAAACACGTGATTTATCCATGAAACAGTCCTTCTTACAGTGACATCATGTACCACAGCGAGCCTTTACATCACTCAGGCCTCTCAGTAATGCAGTAACACAGGTAAAGGGGAGTGAAACGTCATTAAAAACATTATTTGCCTCAACATGTCTGAGATGTCCTTATCCAGCTGAGTGTGTTCTTTCATGATACTTATCGCCATTACATTTCCGGCTCACGCCCTTACCAGAAGGACTTATTAATGTGTTTACAGGTGCTTGAGTAATGCAAGCATTTTTTCCCCATCACAAAGTGTCTGGAGGCTCCGGCTGCGGGTGCATCCCAAACAGCTACTGGGTTAGCAATCCTAATGTATTTACTTCCCCCCATTTTTGTTCCTATTAATGCCCTTTCCTGGCACCAAAAATATCTCAAAGGTGGCTGCAAAAAGAGGAATGTCGACCTTCGACAGCGACTGTCTTCAGCTGGAATTCATGACATTCTTTTTTATCAGTTTCTAGAATTTCTCCTGAGAAACTCAAACCAGCCCAGCAGCATAATTCACTTCTCCACTGTCCACCATGGTCTGTATGAACAGTGTGTCCCATTCTGTTCGTGTTTTTGTTTCAGGGTATAAAGTTTTGCGTAGGTGTCATTCACTTCTCTGAATCATAGCCTGGCTTTCACAGTCACCCGATTTAAACCAAGATTAAAACCTGGCAGCCCTGTCACGTAGCAACTATGTTTATGTACAACCAGTCTGCAGCAGGAAATGCATTTTGAAGGAAATGTAATGCTGACCGAATAAAGTTTTCTATTAGCATGTTGAGGAAATGTTGGTAATTAATGAACTTGTCATGTCGCAAAGTATTAGTAAAATGTTCACTGACACTGAAATGGCAATACAATCCACTCATAGAGATACAGCATTATTCAAAAGTCAGCAGTGACTTGAGATGTAAGATTTTTTATTAACATTTACCAAAGTCCTGATCAGTCCCTAACCTTACCCAGAGGACTCTTGTTGCAGAAGACATGAATCCCGCCATCCAGCCCAACCACTTTCTTGCAACTTCACCACAATACATAAATGTAGTGTTTCAAAAAATGTCTTGGAACATAATCCTGGCAGGTATTACGTTATCACCACAACGTAATTATGAAAACAATTTAGTATATTTTAATTCTTACTATAATTTCTAGAATACCGGGTTGCCTATGGGGGATTTTGCAGAGATCTGTTAAACACTGTCTCCACCACCATCATTAAACCTTTATAATTAGGGAATAACTTTGGAAGAATGGTGTTTTATCCCTTCAGTAGAGTTCAGGGATGTAGAATTTAAGGTGAGGGCGCTGTTCTAGAGGCCCACGTCACTTTTAGTGTGGTTTTTCATTTTATTATCATCAGAGGGCAATAAAGGACATCCTGATTGCGTTAGCGGAAACATATTGTTCAAGACTGCCACACCTCAAAGCATATGATTCATTTAATTACCCAACAGTATATAAAGTTGTTCATTATTTTTCTTGGTTAATACTGACCCTGTGACATTTAGTGGGTGTTTCATCATGTGTGTCACAAAGATATTTTTTTGTTATGAGTAAAAATGTAACAATCCATAACATAATCAAGGACCAACCAAGTAAAAGGTGACCAGAAGGATAATATAAAATGTATCAAATAACAAAAGTTAGTTAGTTAAAATCTGCTCTGGAAAACTGACAGCAAGCCTCCAAACCACAAAGGGTTTGAGATAAGTTGCCATTTTATGTCCTTGTACTAAGACATGTTCCAGTCAGAGGGTGTTAGCTCTTTTCCTTATAGCTCAGTGTGGACCTATGTAGAAGTTACAGGGGCATAAAATGTAGTTATCAGCTTCATTTGGGATAATAAATTCTTAGGTTGAATGCTCAGGAAGTCTTTGAAGATATACATATCAGTGAGTGAGTCTACGTGTAGCCAGAGAGGTTAATCCAACCATAAGCTCTATGAACAGATATCTGCATATGAAGGCATAAACTGTAGGCAAGGGTCAATATTTTGGTATTAGAAGCATTCTGGTTTCCATTTTTGTCCAAGTAGTACTGACTAACCAAGTTTCAGCAGGCTTTGGTTGCATGCAGGTTATCAATCCATGTGGAGAGCGTTCTTATACAGATATCTGTTCATAGACATTACCATTCTTGGGCAACATGTAAGATGCATTAAGTACGTTGTAGCTGACTGCAGAGAGCTAATTTTATACATTTCTTATACTGTTGGGTGGTTTCATTTACTCTGTGGCAATGCATTGTATTGTTATGCTCATTATAGGTTTTTACAAAGTAATTATTAACTGCAGCTACCTAATACATGTAGTGGAGTAAAAATATAACAATATTTCCCTCTGAAATGTAGTGGAGCGACGTATAAAGTAAGCTTATGGAGTTGGTTTTTGTGCCCACCTGATCAACGTAAGACCAATGTTTACTCTCCTTTGAGCTCTGTTTTCCTCTCCACCAACTCCAAAGGGAAATATCTAGCTATTTAGTTGCTATATGTTCCACTATGTTTACCACTAACTTTGGTAGTAGGTAGTGTACAGTGGACTAGAGCGTTTAAAGTTGCTGACTGTAAAGTAAAAGTAATAATTGTCTCTGGGAGGAGCTTTGAAGGACCAGTTTGTAGTATTTGGTGGTATTTGTATTGTAGTATTTAGTTGCAGCCTCAACCAAGAGTGCAGGAGAAACATAATGATTCCTATATTCAGGTGATTGTACACTAATGAAAACATACTTATGAATGTATATTCCATTTCTGCCAATAGATCCTCTTAAATGTTAAACTCTGGACCTTTAAATAAAAGGCTTTCTCCCTCCCCTGCAGTTGGATCTTGCCCCGTGATGACCATACAAGTACAATTCCGTCTTAAAAAGACCTTTGACTCTGAGCCCCACCTATCCCTATCTTATCATTGCCTAACCTATAATTAAGATTGACAGTTGCCATGTTTAAAGGTAACCTGATCGGTTTATAATACCATTTAATTCCCACATTTTTATGGATTTTAATTGTTAGGCAACTTCCTCATATAGATGACTGTGCAGCCTGATTGTACATTATGTATTGTATATAACTTTTTGTCTGTGTGCCAGACAGAATGAGCCAACACCATGTGAGACCTACCACAGGGAATTCATTGCTCCGACAGACAGGTTTGGGCTGGCTTTGAGGTTGAATTACCTTTAGGACAGTCTGACCCAGTGGAATGTCTCTCATGTGGTTTGTTTGATATTCACTCAGTGTCTGCCAGTGTGCCAAGTGTCATGAAAACTTCTTCACTGGGAACATCACAAACACAAAGTGAAGTCAGCAAAGGACAGGGCTTGTGTACGCTATCAACAGAGGAAAATGTACTGCTGTGATCACACAGCACACATAACAAAGACACACACACACACACACACACACACACACACACACACACACAAACATACACACACACACACACACACACACACACACACACACACACACACACACACACAAAGAAGAAGCAGGATAATGGCCTGCATTCTTTATGAGACAAAGGTCTTTTGTCTGCTGGTTTGGAAAATGCCACTCGAAACATCTTCGTACCCCCTCTAGTGGTCATTTTCGTTGTAAAGAGGAAGTGGGTACAGGTCAGTCGTCATTCGGGGTGTCTGTGGGAGGAAATTATTTGTGACTGAGAAAAGTGCAGGTGTATAGCACTGTACAGATTTTAGATCAGTTGTCACAAGAAGAAGAAAAGAGAAGAAAGTCATTGTTGTTGATCTCGTCTCGTCCCCAGAGACTCTTGTGTTTGAATATGAGGGGAGAGCCCCGCAGACTTCCTGTCAAACTGGGAGAACCCCGCCTCGTATTTACATTTGCTTCATGACTGTAAAACGCAGTATTTCCAAATCAGGTTAAATATAAATATACATAATAATTCAGAACGGTGACGTAGGCTACTTTGTGACATCTGCTCTAGAAAGGTGCTGGATGAATAAAGTTTTACTCATTGTTACACCACAACATTGCATAATTAATTCAAAACAAGATAAATAAAGGAATGAATCCGATAAAATGAGACATAGTTTAAATGAATAGTTTGACATTTTAGGAAATACACTTACTAGCTTTCTTTCTGAGATTTAGATGAGAAGATCAATATCACTCCGTCAGGTTAGTGTAAGTTAGCGTAAAGAATACAAACTACTGTCTCAACGAAGTGAACTCACTGATCAGCACATTATATCTCTCTCTCTGTTTCTTGGCAGGGGAGAGAGGCTGATCCCGGCTAATGTCTGGCACACAACCAAATAAAACGGCAAATTGTTGTTTTTGTACAAACCAAACAGACAGATAAAAGATATAAATTGTTATTTAATTATTTTTAAGCTGTTTCGCATATTTACCGCAGAACTACACAAGAAAGAGTTGTACAGTTGAACGTAAAGGTGGAAAGATGAGAAAGAACTGCGGTTGTTGTCAGGCCAACCTGGTCCATAGTGTACGTTTCACGCCTAAGCGAGGAAAAGTGTAGCCACGGTATCGGTATCCTTTACGCACTTTGGTGTGACACTGCGGTCTGGTTAGCAACAATGAATATCCGGTAAGACTAAAAAAAAAGCTTGCTGAGAAACATCTCTGGTGACAGTCGCAGGTTGGTTAGGTTTGGGAACCAAAACTTTTTGGTTAGTTTTAGGAAAAAGATCATATTTGGTTTAAACTACTTCCTGTTTTGACTTTGTTTCACACAGGAACCGAACCCCCCTCTTGTGTGCAGAACCGCTGTGTTTGACCAATTCATCCACTCTAATCTATTCCCTGCTAATAGTGCACCTTTATACATGCGTGCACTCTTCCCACCTAGGCAAAAACTTGACACTGACACCGTATCCCTAGTGGATCGGCGAGGGTATTACACGCTCTTGGCTGGTTAAACTTTTGGTATTTGAGTTGCATTTTGGTTAAAACAAACGTTTTACAAGCTGGAGTGTCTCTACATCAGAAGAACTGACTCAGTCTGGTTTTTTTCTGGTCTGCCACATTCTTTGCCCCGTCATAACTGTGGTCACACAGGCTAAGCAGTTGCTGGTCGTCTCGTCTCTACAGTGCTAGTCTATGCTCAATGCTTTTTTACTTTTCTTCTTTTCTTTTCCAATAGTTTGGTGTGTCCAGACTGTGTGAGGATTGTTCTGACCCCCGTGTACGTGTGTCTGTCCACCTCTCTCTCTCTCTCTCAGTGTCGCTCTTTTTTTCTCGATCTTACTCAATTCTTCTGTCTCAGATCAGCGAGCTTCACACTTCCCCCTCCCAGTTGTGGTTGAGTCATTAACTGGAAGTACCTACGCACATCCCACACGTACACACACAAGCACGCACACACACACACACGCACACACACACACACACACACACACACACACACACACACGCACACACATATTTTCTCCATGACAAAGAAACTCCAGTGATCTAAAAATGACTTGATGGGGAAGTGTTCAATTATGATAAAACAAACAAACAAACAAAAAAAAACTTTAAACCAGTTAAAAAAAATAAACATATTCAATTCCAGATTGTTTTAAATACTATAAGAACAAACTGAAAGAGGGAGCTGACCTTGAGAGGGACATTACAATATTACTTTTATTACATGATATGAAAACAATGTAGATTTTATTGACCATAAAGGTTTCATTGATCTCCTCGTGCATCTTTATATCGAGCATTGTTCAAACCTACACAGCTTTCTTTTAAATTGCAGTCAAGGATCCAAAGTGTGTATTTTAAAGGTGAATTTATATAAAATGATGCATGTGGTGTTATTTGATGTAATGGTGAAAAATTTATGAAAATGTAGCATTTTATGGGTTTGACTGTATCATTTTGGTCCAGTGAGGTGTTTGTCAAGCAGATTTGGAAGACAATGTTGTCATTATACCGTTTCATAAAACTTCAGAAGAAATTTAGAGTTTAAAAGGTCAGTATCCCCAAATGACACACACACACAAAAACAATGTTTTTCACATTCGCCCACTGGTGTCAAGAAATGTCATGTTTTGGTTTTATTCTCAGATATTTGGAGATACATTTTTCTGGAACTTGTGCCGCCGAATCAATGCAGCTGAGGCGAACAGAGGTTCATTTTGTGTTGCTCAGAGCAAGGGAAAGTTTAAAAAACATATCTTCCCAGAAACATTGTGTTTACTTTGGACAGTCCCCAGACTTCACTGTTAACAGTCTTCATAGGGACTATTTCTTTGGTAGAAAATCGTTTACAACAACAATAAATCTCCAGGGGATTATCAATGGGACGTTGTTTTTAGAGACTACTTTTGATATATCTGCCTCCTTTGTCTTTTTCTCAACTGTAATTCGAAACCCATCTCTCGTCATGTTTTGGGTGAACTAACCATTTAAGAAAGTATCCATCCTTCACATGCAAAGGCTGCAGGTGCGATAGATTGCATCTGGACGTTGGGAAGAAATGTGCAGACTTGCATATTTATGACCAAATATAAGGTGCAAACAGTGTGAGAACTCAGGTGCTTTTTCTTTCACACTCTTACCAGAGGATGAAAATGAATGCCTAACACACCTTTGTTTGTTGTCAATGAGTATCTCTGTGACTCTATAGAGGTATGAATGCAGTAGGTATTCATGCAATGCAGTCCAACTAACATGTATGTGAAACTGTCACAGATAAAAGAGATGAATGGCATTTTGTATTGTGTAAAAAGGTTGAGGGTTTGGTCAGGATGTAAACAAACCTGCCTGAAGCCGAGGCCCTCATAGACGTCTGTCACTATTATACTAATAACATTTTTTAAAATAATTTTGTTGAATAGAATCAAAAGAAGTTTACCACATTGGAAAATATCAATAGAACAAAGTAATGCATTTATTCCTCCAATAATGGGCTGAGTATTGCTCTTTGCATGTCTTGTTTTTCTCATGCAACTCATTTATAGCCCAAGTGCCAAACACTTGAGGGCATTGTACAGTCAAAACAGTTGCCTATTTCAATGCAACGATTTCATAAGAACTTCAGAGCAGCTGTGTTTACATTCCCAGTGTCTATCTGCTGCCATCTAGTGGCGTACAGGAGGAGTGATTTGTGTCAGTCTGTTTATTATTAGTGAAGGAAATGACTGATACATTTGTGGTTTGGAAATTTAAGATGACGTATAATGAACATTTTTTGGAAGTTTAAAAAAAGGAACAGTATCCTAAAACCTCGAATAAGCAGTATAAGCATAAGTTTCGCTCTTTGTGTACTTACCAAAGGCTCATTGAAGGAGGGGAATTACAGTGGAGGTTCTGGTAAAGTGAAAGCAATTATTTTTCCCTCCAGGGGAGAATTTATTATTGTGTGCTTCCTGAAATACAAACCTTGATGGGAAATCAGATTTTCACTGCGTGGGGGCAAAAGAACTCATGATAACGATATTATCGCAATAGAGAATAAAAATGAATCTATCAAATGCATCTTTAACTTTTACAGTGTGTTTTGTCTCTTTTTCAGCAAATGAACTGCATTCAGACTTTGGGTGTAGGGAGGTGGAGAGAGAGTCTGTAACCAAAAGTGTACAAAAAGACCAATTACACTTAAAAGTGTAGTTAAAGGCAACCAAAGCCTTAAAACTTAAAAACTAACCACTCTGATATACTGGGATTTTGTAAAGTGCTAGATTATTAATGGTTTTACTAAAGTGTGACAGACTTTTGACACAGCTAGTTTTGCCACACTCCACTGCCACACCTGCACATCTTGTTACTCAAGCAATGAAATATATTACTCAATACATATGACTCTTTTAAAAAGTAACATAATTACTTCACTTATTACTCCCTGCCAACCGTAATTAGTTAACACCAACGACTATTAAAATCCAGTTTTGTTTGTTAAGATCAAGTAATGGAATATTTCCAGTTGCTGAATGTTTCCATCTTTTAAACTAGTTTCCTCCATAATTACGAAAATGAATCCAAGGATGTGATTGGATTGTTGGAACGAAAGTAAGGTTGTAACTGTTATATTATTATTATTATTATTATTATATTACTGAAATGTAGCTATTAGTAATTAGTTACACTACTAGTTATTGGGAAAAGTAATATTATTACTAGTAATCAGTTACTTCCCAACACTGCAGGTTAGACATGTCGAGCACAATTAAACTAATGTTAGTTTTGGCTATTGGTTCAGTTTGCTTAGTTAGCTTATTATTGGGACTAAATATTTAGTAATAACTAATCTCTACAGTATCTCTTGTATGATGCGACTTGTTTTAATTAAGTGACGTGTAAATCTCCACTTAGCACGGCACTTATTTACAATATCCAGTAAAACACCAGTTCAAGATAAAATTCCAATACTTTTGTCTGCATATTTCTTGGATATTAACACATAGTAGCATTGTTTGGTCCTTTAATGGAGCAAAATGACAAACGTGAACCCTGACATAATGCTAACAGATGCCTGCTTGCATTATGTAAGACTAAAAGAACCTGAAACTATACAATAATGTATAATAAAGCAAAATAATGCTATAATAATGCAAAAATAATTATGTTAAACTTGGTTTCTATAGCACAAAGCATACACAAAAAGCATTACAAAGTGCTTTACATAGCAGCAAATGATCATGAAATTTACAATACAAAGTAATGGTAAAATCCCATAAAGAGAAAGAAACAGAGGTGCAGAGAGGTCGTCTCATTTCCGAGGTATCTCAGCTTTAACCACTAGATGTCAGCCCTTCTCTTTCCGTCTGACTGCACTCAGTTTTAATTGAATCATGAGTTCATGCCCCACTTCTCTCTCTCTCTCTCTCCCCCCTCTCTCTATATGACTCTCTGTCACCCCCTCCTCTCTCACAGCCAAAATAATAAAATGCTGACTTCTCAAAGTGCCATCAGTCAGTATGCCTGTCTCAGCATAGCCGCCCAGAGGCCTGACACACAGGAGAGAGGAGGGGTGGGGGGGTAGAGTGAGTGAGAGAGACAGAGAAAGAGAGAGATAGAGAGGAGGGGGGGGGAGAAAAAGAGAAACAACTTTCTCTGGTTTCTAACTTGCCGAGTGGCTTCAGCACTGTGCTTCTGTGAAGGTAGGTGTGAGGCTGCTTCCTTCTGTCTCTGTCTGTGTCTCTGTGTGTTTTTTTGGGGGGGATCCTGCTGGCATGCTGAGGTGATCCACACTTTAATCTTTCTCTCTGGGTTGCCTGTTTGCGGGGTTCCCACATCCTTAAGCCAGAGCCGTTTGTGTGAGACTGTGGATTTGTGTCTGAGATGG